CATGTATAAGGCTTTAAGTTCAATCCCTAAAACCACAAAAGATAATAAAAATAAAAACAGAATAAGGAAGACATCAGGATAATATGACCATGATATATTTTTAAGTAAAGCATCAAGTTTAAATTAATATGTAAGGAGGGAAAAGGATATGCATGTATGCACTGAGTATACATTTGTATATGGACAGAAAATAACTTTCATGATTAAAATTTTGCTTAATTTAATGTTAAGAAAGTATCTGAAAAGAAAAAAATTAGTCTGGCCAAAAAGAACCATTAGCCAGATTTAAAATGCTGCTCACCTTTTTGTTGCTCCATCCCATGCCTGCAAGGAAAGCCATGACCAATGTGCACAGTCCTCCTGATCCAGGAAATCCAAAGTGCACACTGCTGAACACAGCTAGCACAGAGAACCCCAAAACCAGGAATGCCCTCTTCCACACAAGCTTGTCCTTTAAGAGAAAAATGCTGATTAGCTCAATTATTTCAAATTGATTTTTAATTATTGATTCAAATAACCGATTTTTAATTATTTATTTTTCCATATCCACAATGTAGAGGGAAATGAAAATGTCCATTTCAGTGTATGACATTTATTTTCTCTTCCTTAATAAGCAGAGTTACCAATGTAAGATCCTCTTTTAGGAACACCAATTCTCTTCCTCTGCATTTATCAATGCAGAATTTCACAAGGTTTAAGACAGTTGGCACCAAAAAGTACATGGGCTTTGGAGCCAGAAAGAACAGGTTAAAAGTCACTTTTTTTATATCATTGGTTTAACTTTTCCAAATTCTGTTTCCTCATGTCTGAAAGAATGTACATCAATAGGGGTTTTGTGAAGCTTAAAGGTACAACTTTATTATTTTCAGTCTCTCTCTTTAATTGTTTTTTTTTTTTAATTCTTGAATACCAACAGGCTTTAAGAGCCAACAGACTGAGACAGTAGTTGTTTGTTCTTGTTATTGCCAAGTGTAAGAACTGTGCAGTTTTTTCCTTTTCAAATTTCTTTGTCACTTTAGAAAGTAGACCTTTAAAAGTGATTGATGGGGAGGCATGCAACTCTGGAGATAGATTACCTGAGTTCTTTCCCAGTTCCGCTATTTTCTAGCTACATGACCTTGTTCTCCTTACTTACTTTCCTAAGCCTCAATTTTCTTATCAGTTAAAAGTTTATATTAATAGTACTCTCTTTATTGATTATTGTGTGGACTGCATGAGATGAGCCCGTCCCTCAGAATGTTTAGTGATGACAGAAATGTTCTGTCTGCCCTGTCTATAAAAATGATGTATATCTGCTACAGTCACAAGTATCTATTGGCTGCCGTATTGAACAGAGCCCCTAGATGATTTACTATGTCATTTTAGCACACTAAGAAACAAATGTAAGCTATCATTTTTATTTTATTGTGCAATTAGAATAATCTTATAAGAAGCTAGGGATGTTGCTCAGTAGTAGAGCAATTTCCTAGCATGCACAAAGCC